GCATTGAAAAGGTTAAAAGAAAGTTTGAGCTAGACACCAATACCTTGAGGGAGGGCTTCGTTGTGCAGCCTGATGGACCTATAGCTTAATTAACTACATTTGTATTACAAATGTTTGAAGTATCTACATGTGAATAACCAGTTGGTAAGCTATACATATAAATTACCCCCTGGTTTTAAAAAGGCAACCTTTCAACAATGAGTATCATGGCTCAACCCTGTTACCTTCAGGAATCCATTGATGTAATTACTAAAGAATTCAAGATACTTGGTGTTCTTGATTTTACTGGAGTACACAATCATGTACTACTGGGAGGTCGATGGACAATTATATTATTTACACCTCCCAAATCAAATATGTTTTCTGATTGGAGGAGAATGTGTCACTATCATTGGTCAAAACGCACTAACTCCCTAGGGAAACAACAACTTGAACTTTCGACTGCAGGCGATCAGGTGGTGCACCTTGAAACAGCCAGAAATTTGTGTAGCAGCTGCAGTCAAGCAGATAATTTTTTGCAATTTGTTTCATGTTTAAAGTATAACAATCACTTAATGACTGGCCCCACAAGAAACAGTGAGTTTCGTTTCCCTTCAATCCTCAATGCTGCCCTCGCCTCAGGGAGCATTATTTTAGTGTCTTGGGGAAGCACTGTTTCCCTTAAGACCAGTCATTAAGAGCTTAATGTTGTTGACAGTACCTGGTTGATCTCATCCACCACCCGAAATGGGCATTTAGTAAGTTCTTGCAGTGCCATTAGGTACAACATGGTGGATACACTCCGTTCTCCACCACTCTGATGGAATGGAGTCAAGACGTGGAGGCTGTCTTTTGAACGGAATTTCACCTTGATCTGAATGCCATATTTATCAAAGTTATTTTCCCCCTGTCAGATAAAGTAGAGCAAATGGGTGAATACACTGTAATTTAATTTAGCAGATTATACTATTTAGTGTATGATTTGTGGTGTTGCTTGTCTTAAATAGATTACATTCATTACAGCCTCGTACAGTCACAGCATCATAGTTTTACATTTTTATGTTCCATTTAGCTTATTGCAGCACTCCAGATTCAAGTTTGAAAACCAAAACCAGAGTACTGGATTACAGAAACTAGAATGACTAGAAATCAGACTGTTTGAAAACAATGCAACCAGGCTTGCTACTACATACAGACAGAGAAGGCCACTGAACAAACCTGTTCTGATGAAAGAGCAACTTCTCCAGCACAACCCATCATCCGAAAGAAGTCACCATACTTTTCATTGATGCGTGAAACCAATTCTTGTAGAGGCGTCAGCCACCTTGAAAGGCCAGACGACATTGGTTAGCACGATTTATAAA